CAGAATCACAGAATGGTTGGAGTTGGAAGGCACCTCTGGAAATCATCTAGTCCAACCCCCCCTGCTAAAGCAGGTTCACCTAGAGCACAGGATGGTGTCCAGGTGGGCTTTGAATATCTCCAGAGAAGGAGACTCTAAAACCTCTCTAGGCAGCCCGTTCCAGTGCTCTGTCACCCTCAAAGTAAAGAAGTTTTTCCTCATATTCAGATGGAACTTCCTGTGTTTCAGTTTGTGCCCTTGCCCCTTATCCTGTCGCTGGGCACCACTGGAAAGAGTCTGGCCCCATCTTCCTGACACCTGCCCTTAAGATATTTGTAAGCATTAATAAGATCCCCTCTCAGTCTCCTCTTCTCCAGGCTAAACAGACTGATCTCTCTCAGCCTTTCCCCATAAGAGAGATGCTCCAGTCCTCTAATCATCTTCGTAGACCTCTGCTGGACTCTATCCAGTAGTTCCTTGTCTTTCTTGAATTGGGGAGCCCAGAACTGGACACAGTACTCCTGATGCGGCATCACCAGGGCAGAGTAGATGAGGAGGATAGGATTAAGAGAGCTAGGATTAAGCCCTACAGACCATTTTGAGAGGTTGCATTATGGGCTTCAGGCTAACTGGTGCGTGTTTGGGTCTTACTGTTTTGACTAGTGCAATAAGCAGCTTGGGCTATGATCCCAGTCAGCTGCCCAGCCACCAGCATCCAGCCTGCCAGGTGCCAGAGCACTGCACTAATGGACATGTTTAATGGGAACAAGGGCAATGGTATGAGGAGACAGCAGCAACTGCTGTCAGGAAAGCATAACTAGAATCCTCAAGGCTTTGACGTCTCAATAAGATCAGATTGTAGAGGTGCCCCTCATTTGACTGGAAAGAGATAAATGCTATTTTTCTTCATGATGGCCCAGTGTTTCCTAGTTAGGAGTAAAGATATTTCCTTTACAAATCTTTCATTCTCTGAGAGCAGCTGAGTGACCAAAACACCACCACAGAGCTGTGTTCAAAAGCACAGACTCAGGACCCTGGCTTCAGCTTTGAGGAACTTGAATATTTGAGTCTCAGATATCCCTGGAACAGGCCAGAAGAAAGTCCTGTACTCATACCAGAGAAAAGCATCATGTTTGTGGCACAGAAACCAGAAGGTTTTTGAACATGTAATGGGACAACTGACATTGCCACCTTGATAAGAGAGGGACTGCTCTTGACTGTAAATAAATGTTTCTTCAGAGCAGATGAACAGTTTTTGCCTACTGTATCATGTAAGCCATTCTGGGAGATCTAGAGATCTAAGGGTATCTAGGCTTGCCTGCAATAAGATGAACAGCAAGTATTTTTTATCCCTGAACCTGCAATGGATTCTTTTTCATTATATAAAATACAGATGGGTTTTGGATTCACAGCTGTCATTGCCACCACTTGTTAGAATAATTCCTTATGCATACGTATGTGTCTATGGGGGATCCCTGCAGGCTACCTCAGTCAGAACAGGTCCTGTGACAGCTCCTGGCTTCTAAACAAGGGGATCTACAGAAATCCCAACAGAAATCAGTTTTGGAAGCAGGGCACAGAGTGGTAGCCAGCCTGCTACAGTGAGTGTCTCAAGCTAGCCAGGAAAATCCTGAGGGGAGGGGAGTGAGGAAATTACCTTTACACCATCTTCTTTTAAAGAGATGCTAGTATCCAGATGGAGATCGTATGCTTACTGAGATTCAGGTCTTGGATTCAACAGACAATCAGAGTTAAGTGGCAATAAGACATTGCAAATGGTTCTCATATGATATTTAGCCTCAAAGAGGGCATGATTTTGTGTCTGTTGAACTATCTTTGAGTACACCAAAACCAAAGTCTTCAAAAGGACTCTGTAGCGTACTGCCTTGGATCCAGGACCAAGACCAAAGTAATATATTTAGATCTTGGGATTTGATTCTGACCCATATGAAATCTAAAAGCTTTTGATTTGCTGGGCAACATTCTCTGCTGCCCTTGTCTTGGTTATTGCACAGCAGGTTCATAGTGATGTATATCATATCTCACAGCTGCAGCAGTGAATTCAGTAACCTTTGCATTACTGGACCGTGGCACTGAGGGTGATGGAAGGCCAAGTCCTGGTGTTTGGCAGAAACTCAAGAGCTTTAAAAGCTACACATTATCAGAGCAACAAAAAAGAGCCGGTGCTGGCTTAGGTCATTTAATTTTCAATTTGCTGCAAAAGGGATCAGGCAAGCCAGAAGGCAGTGTAAAATACACTGACCTGTCAACAGAACAGGATGAAGCAACTTCAAATGGGTCCAATTAAAAAAAATAAATTAAATTTTAAAAAAATCCAAACCCACACACTAGAAAATACAAGCAAGATAATCCAGATCTTTTCTTTTCACAATGTATACATTTAAGTACCAGATCTTGGCATATGGCCAGAATCCTGACTTGGCTGTTGAAGTGTAAAGGCCAACATATCTGCTCAGCCAAGCCAGCACCATTGGATTTTGATAACCCAGCTCAGATTGCTGTAGTGCTCCAGAGCGGTATGAGCTGCGTGAGTGCTTTGATACTGGCTGTATTGCAGCCACCGTTCTACCTTCCCTGGATGCACTGGGAATGGAGACAATAAGATATACAAAGAAACCTAAATGAGGATCACCATAAACCTGTTACTTTTCCTTCTTATTATGATGGAATGAGCTAAGTTTATGCTTTTGGAGGCAAAAAGAACCTGCATATCCCTCCTTCTGGCAACTTTGTACACCAGTGCCTCTGACAGCAGGAAAACTTAAAATCTGGAAGTGTAAATTTCATCAGCAAGGACCATCTGGGAGACTTTTTTACATATTATCAGGCTAACTTTTATTCTCAATGCCACAGTAATTCCCAAGAAAAGATTCAGATTTCAGTGGCTGATGTGCTACCATCCTATGGAGGAGGAGTAGGGTACGATAAAAGGGTGAAATTTTCAAGAATGTCTAGTAGTTTAGGAGAGTACCTTCAGCAGGTTTTCAGCATAACATATTATTTTAAACAGCAGATATTCAAATGTCTGTAGGCACATATAGCTGCCAACTGTAATGCTTAGCAGGATTTTCAAAGGCAAGTCATTTTTATAAATCCAGTTTGTACCTGTTTGTAGCATTAGATTTCTAACTGTGTCAGGGGAGAGGTATTTTTAGTCTGAAAATGTTGCTCTGAAGCACTCTGAAATTTCATGCTAACCATCCTGTTTTACCAAATTTCTCCTCAAACTTTGATTTTTCCACTGGCAGCACAACTGAAAACATTGCTATTTCAACTTCTAGCCATTGAAGTAATTGTGATTTCTGCGCTGAAACATAAATGACAATAATGCACAAGAGGAGGAGTCTGATAAAGATCTTGTTTTCTCCTTTAATTGAAATACTTGGCAATCGGAATAAAAAAAATGAAGTCTTGAAATGTTAGTGAAGCTTTAATGAAATGATTCCTATCCATTCACTTGCGTATCAGTTGTGGTACATTAGTCCTTTTAGCATGGTCCTATTAATCTCATGCCTCACTTTTATGATAATCACCACGCTGGCATTTCATTAGTACCTTTATTTAAAATCCCAATACCCACACTGTTTATGCTTCACAATCTAGTATTATTTGGACTGCTTTTCTGCCAGGTGCAGAGTTGAAAAACTCATAGAGATCTGTGAAAAATGAGATGGGAGTAGGCTGAGCTCTCTGTTAGCATCAGTCATTGTGTCACTGCCTTCCCTGCCATCACAGGGAAGTCAAGAGTACAGGTGGAAGTTCCCAGCTACAAGGCAATGCCAATCTCAGATTACTCCAGGACCAAGTTCTACCAAAAAATGCAGGTACAGCATGATGAATTGAAGAGAAATATGAAAGCACTAGCCTTGGGTGAATTTTAATGTTATTGCTGTATTAATCAAATGGCTTCAGGAAACTAGAAACAGAACATCCATAATGCTTTCTTAGGATTTTTTTAAAGAAAAAAAAACATCATCCCAAATAAAACAAATCAAAACCAAACAAAACAAAGCAAAACAAACAAAAAAAAACCCTAAACTATTTATATGTTTCACTTTTAAGGACAAAAAATTCTAACCAAACTCCCTCTTTTTCTTTTAAATGTACACAGAAATTCGATGATGTCTGTTCTCTATTATAGAAATGCTTAACTCATGGCAAGCCTCAAAAAGAAGACTTGAAAAAGCCTCTAAGAAATAAAATAGACTGCAGTTGCCTGCTGGATATCACATCATATATCTCACCAGAAACAAAAGCCATCAATTTTATCAAAATGTATCTGAAAGGGAGAAGTTGAGTCAGTTCCACATGTCCAGTCCTTCTGACTCTTTAATGGATACATTTTGAAGCATCACTGCAGATAACAGGGCAAGAATTACTACTAATTTTGTTACGTTAGAACTATATTTTGGTGTGTTCCTCAATTTCTTTGGGCTCACAGGAAACAAAATTAGTATAAATACATTACCATGTTACCTGTATTCAAAATCCCATGGACAAATATATCCTTTTACAGTCCATCTTCAGAGCAATTAACAAAGATTAAACAATGCTAATAACCCATTATTGCTTCACTTTTGTTCTCTTCTGTTTTTCAAACATTCACCCTCCCCACTTCATAAATCTTTATTTGCTACATGCCACATTGATATTTTTGCTTTCTCACTGTGTCAGTGAAGTAACTGCTACAAACGTGAACTATAAATTAGCTGGGATCACTTTCAGGAAGTTTGGCTTGCCATGGAAACAACTTTATATTAACCTAATAGTCACTACAGATGTGCATTTTGCTGTCGCCAAGTCCATGGGATCTGATGCTTGGCTGTATAATTTTTATTTTATATACAGTGTATATATACATAAGTGTATATATATATACACACATATACACACATATGTATACATATATAATTATATATGTATACATTCACACACATATAAATATATGTATGCATTGTTTTTTGCAAATGAAATCAGAAAGCAAGCAAAACAAGACTGACCTGACTTACCTGTACTGGGCTCACAGTCAATGAAATCTTCATCATCACTGGAACATTCAGCTGACGAAACGATGTCATCTGTTGTCTGTCATGTGAAGGAAAGGAATGAAGGAAAAAGAACAGAGGGAAAAAAAATATAAGATACTTGCAAGTCAAGAGGCTGCTACAGAGGCAGCTAAGTAGCCTAGAAAAAAAAATGTTTCAAAATTTTAACTTTTAAAATATTTAACTTGTAGCAAGCATTCCAGATATGCCTGTGTAAATGTGCCCTCCATGGAGCTGGAGTCCCCTGTTGGAGGAACAGTGCTTATCCTATGCTGTTGAATACTTCAGGTGTGCACAGGTGTGGTGTGCCTGCCAGGCTGTTTAGGTTAGCAGGTGGATTGCACTGTGCTTGTGAACACTATAAGTACAGTGGGCTACGACACCTTCTTGGCTGGCAACCATCCTCTGACAGCCGAAGTGGATGTGTCCAGTTGGAAAAAGCTGGGCTCCTTGATAAATACCAATACCGTGCAGGGCCAGCCAGAAGGCACCTACTGAGAGACTTACCATATGAAGCATGTTCAGGCTGAACATGCTTTCTGCAAAGAAAAATGTACAAGATAGACTCAGACAATATGTATCACCCAGGCAGCTAGTAAATATCTGTGCAATGCATTTGTTGCATGATGAACTACTGCTCCGCGTCAGGTATGCCCAACATGCAATCTCACCTGCTTGCTTGCCAAGTGAACAGGGATGTGGCTGTGACTGGGCTGACAGGCTAGAAAGTCTGGTTCTGAAAGGCTTAAATCAAACTGTGACTGTTCATGGCCCTTACAGGTTTCAGCACATTCCTTTGCATTTCCAGCTGGTGATATTTTCTTTCTTTTTTTTTTTTTTGCTGCTGGTCTAATTAATGAGCAGCATGTACTGCAGCATGTTAGAGAGAAGTGTACTGGTGTCTCTTCCCAGCAGCATCTCCTGCCTGTAATTGCTGCAATTAGTTGAATTAGTAATGCAGACCATTAGGGAGAGTCTGTGACAGCCTCGGGACGCAGGTTGTAACGTTCCTGCACACAATACAAAATTACCCCAGCTCAGCAGCATCGGCTAAAACCATGCTTTCTGCTGAAATTGTCTCCCTTGACAACTTTTCCTTGCAGAGTGCTGCAGATCCCAGCAGTAAGATCAGTGGGATGACTCCTGAAACAAACCAACTAAAATGTTCCTCACCAGGCAGGAAGCACTGCTGAAATCTCAGCTCCTCAGGAGCAGGGCAGCTGTACTTCAGTACACTGTGCTTTAGTACTCCAGGTAATATTCCTGGGAGTCTCACATCATGACAAGCCTTCCAAATCCTTATTCCTGAAAAAGACTCTCCAGCTTTAAATAAGGTCTCCTTTACATTCCTATGTCTGCTATGGCTTTCTCCAACATGCTTCATGTTCTCTCTTTGTATAAGTGTTCTGAGGTCCCAGCCTTTTCTTTAGCCTCTTGTGGTCCTAGCACTAGGACCACCACTAGCACTGTCCCCTGCCAGAAGGTCTGTACTCCCCCCCTCTCTGTTTGTATTTGAGCTAAGGAAAAAAACAGAACTGAGCAGTCAGTCAGAAAGATCAGACTGAACCTGACATTCCTTCACTCTTCATTTCAGTGGCTTAGAGTGAGCCAAGAAAGAAAAAAAGGATTGGTCGACTGTAAATAAAAATTCTAAAAATAGAGTATCTGTAAAAAAACAGCCAGGAAATAAGGGAATCCCTATTGTATGTATTACTCGGTTTTACCTCAGTGGGGAGGCAAGATTAAAAAGAACTGGTGGTAACATGTACAAAGCATTTTCCCGCCTTAGGGGCTAAGGTCATTTTTTTAGCATCTGCTTTCAGTCATAGAAAACAGAAGAACACTGTTGAAATCCTGGTGACTTCTCTCTTAAAACAAAATGGCTTTAAAAGTTTGTCTGTTTAGTGAGAGGTCAAGAAAGGAAGAATGCACAAGATGTAAATTTACTTTCTACAGTTATTCTGGTCCTTGTCACATATATTTTATAAAGCATTTTTTATCCCAAAGGACACCAAATCACTTTATAACTTATACAAACAGTGATCACATCCTCCAACAGTGAAATGCAGCTGTCGCTGGGTAGAAAGACATTAGTTTTTAATTGCACCACTGTAAAGTAATTTAGCACAATAAGTCAACAAAACCATACTACAAGAAATTTTTTTAAGTAGGTGAAATGTAGCTAGTGAAACTGGAGATTTATATCACAGTTGTCTAAAGCACTTGTAAAAGAGTGCTAAGGATAGTACTGTGAATAAAGAATAAATTATCCATCGCTACTAGAAGACCTTGCTCAGACAGTGCTAAGACCCTGGCAATTGGTTTTGATTTCCAGGTTGAATTTCGAGCACGTGGATTTTGCTCTTAGTTGAAGATCTGACAATTCACATGTGGGTCTCATAGAATAGTGATGATTTGCTTCCAGTAGGAAATAAACATAAAAATTATAACAATGTGTGGTTGTCACTTATCAACTGGTATACCTATCCACTTACTCACTTACTTGCTCATATCTAAGGGCTTCATGCAACATTAACTCGGAATCAGATCCAATTGAATTGACAATGTGATTCAGTACTTGTAAAGAATAAGGAGTTCCGTTATAAGTCTTTTTTTTCCTCTTGTTTATTAGGGGCATCATATGAAACCGGAAGGGTAGCATGCCCAGAAAAAAAAACGGGTGATATTTCTTTACACAACGTTTTTTTGGTTTGTGGTTGTTTTTTTTTTTTTTTTTTAAACTGGGGAATTCCTTGCAACAGGATACTGGTAGGTAATAAAGGTTTAGATGCATTTTGGAAGTGATCAGCCAAATTAAAGGTAAAAACATCCATCCAGAGCTATTAAATACCCCATACCTAGCTTGGGAAGTCCCTGTGCCACAGACACTCAAGACCAAAGAAGTACCACTATTTGCATTGTCCTGCTCAGGACTCTCTTCCCGAGGCTCCATGCATGGCCAGGGCCAGCAGCAGGGTGCTGGGCGAGGTGAGCCTCTGTGGCCTCCCAACCACATTTATGCTGCGCTCTTAGATATGTGTTCTAGATTTTCTTCTATAAAGTCCTTATGCAGCTTGTGTTGGTTCTGAAGGGAGAAGGGCATAGTCAGCTGGACTCAGACAAAATGCAAATGCGTGATGTGCAATACTCACCAGCTCTGACCTGTATCTGCACTTCTTCATGACTGGTTCCACACTTGATTCTATCAATTAGTCTCTGTCTTTTTCTCCCCATCTCCACTGCATGCTATTTGCCCTGATATTCCAGTTTTTCTTGCTCTGTGATTGCTGTTTGTCCCATGCTGCTGATTTTGTATGTGTAAAAATGAGGGTTAGAAAAACAGAAAAACCTCCAGAAGTGGTGTTAGACTTAAGTCAAGGTCATTAACGGGATCTCTAGAAACCACAGAAAAGATAAGTACACTAATCTGTCTTGCCATTTCCTATCTTGTATTTTTAATCTCAGTACTTTTCATCACAATTCATCACTAACTGATTTTCTAGTTCCATCACATATTGGTTTTTCATGCACCTTCCTCTCAGATACCAATATCTGAATCATCCCAGAGGAATAAAGCTATTTCAGTGAGAAACAGCAGAAAATTCCTGACCACAGAAACAGAGTCAAGGAAACCTCCAGAAGACCATAACTTCTTTTAACTGGAATCTGTACCTTTCAAAACCCTCCTGGACCTGAGAATTTTCACTGGATGGTTATTAAACTTGGTGCTTCCACAAGACAGGAGAGGCTAGTAAGCAGTGACCCCAGAAATCTCTCCACCAACATCATTTCTTCTCATCAGAAACGGCTCCCTCTGAGGCAGTAAGCAAAACCAGCTATTCCATTTCTGGTTCCCTTTCCCCATTTTTTGAAATGGGGCTGATTATACTCACTCGTTGGCCCCAGGGGAGGTAAACAGGTTAATTCTTTAGTGTCTGCCCAGGAATCTATAGATGGTAAATGCTAAACATTCTTATGTCCAGGCAACATGACAGTAATGAAACTTCTCCGTATGCTATGATGGAAATGATGTTTGTGTTTTCATTGGAAAGAACATGAGAGAGAAAATATTTTTCTATTCCATATATTAGCTAAATTCTATATTAAAAATAATAATTCATACTATACTATTTTAAAATATGTATTTCATTTTTAAAGAATCCCAGCTTTGAAATTACTTGGCCCTGTATTGAAAGCCATAAAACTAAAGATAGGTATTATAATAACTTTCAATAAAATCTCTCTCTGGCAGGAACCCTTTTTATTCCTTCCTCTGAAAGATTTTTTATGGCATTTATATTATTATTTTTTCTCTCCCTCTCTCTAGTGTTTAATGAAATTGCCTTGGAATAAAACTGGGGTAGGAGAAAGTGCTAAACTCTGAGTCCACCCTGGAGGATTTATGGGCATATTTACCTTCAAATTCTTTCAATTTCACTGAATTGGCTCCCCATTCCTTTCCATGAATTATTAGTTCAGTAATCACCTCCTCCTAATTATTCACTCTAAGGGCCTCTTCAATCTCACCACGGTGATAGTTCTACATCTTTCTTCATTACACTGTACATACTGGTGTGGGATGTAAAGTGCAAGGAAAGTTGGGATGGCGTGGCAAGACCTGCTCAAGATGACTTCATTCCTGTCCAGTCCTTCCAAGTGTCCAAAGGCCTAATTTATGCGTCAGATCCACAACCTTTGCTCCTTTGTTCTACACAAAATGGCAGGTGCTGAATCTTCCTTTTCCCAGCCACAAAGTTTTTTTGACACCTTGCTCTTTGGGTGCACTGTTATTTGAGAAAGATTAAGCATGCTGGGTAAAATAAGTCCTGTCACAGAAGAGCTTTATGAAATTATAAATAACGCACCCAAGAATGATGGAGTTCTTACTTCTAGTGGGAGAGAAAAGACAAGGACCCATAAATTCAAACCCCAGACAAATTCCTCCAGAAGTACATATTTGGCAGTTACTTCACTCGGTAAAGTAGGATTCAATTCTCCCACTTGCCTTTTGCTTGAAACTCTTCTGCACAATGTACACAT